AAAAAAAATTTAGATAAGTAGTGTGAAGCTAGTTGAGGGTTGAAATCAACTAATGTAACTTCCAATTCTGAAATTGTAGAAATTGACAATGATTCATTAGTTTTGAGAACTAAGTCACTAGCTGAGATTTAAGCAAGATGTAATTTTCCATTGCAAAACCTAATTATTTTGAAGAAGTAGCTAAACAACAAGTTTGGATTGATGCTATAAAGAAGGAGCTGTCTATAAACTAAAAAAAAAAAAAATCAAACTTGGTGTCTTGTTCCAAAACCAGATGATAAGAATCTTATTGGAGTGAAGTGGGTGTTTCAAACTAAGCTAAATCCAAATGATTCTATACACAAACGTAAGGCCAAACTTGTAGTGAAAGGGTATGCTCAATAGCCAAGAGTCAATTATGGAGAGACTTATGCACCAGTGGCCAGACATGACACAATAAGCCTTCTAATTGCATTAATTGCTAATCTGGGTTGGAAGTTGTTTCATAGGGATGTAAAATTAACTTTCCTTAATAGTGTCCTGTAAAAGGGAATCTATATTGAACAACCACCTAGGTTCGAGATTACAAGAAAGGAAGATTGTGTTTATAAGCTTAATAAGGCTTTGTATGGTCTAAAATAAGCACTAAAGACCGGCTATTGCAAAATTGATGACTACTTGATGAGTTAAGGCTTTAGGAGGAGCACAGAAGAAGCAACTTTGTATGTGAAAGGTAGCAGCAATGAATCTCAACTTATTTTGTTACTTTATGTGGATGAATTATTGTCAATTGGAAATGATTTGAAGTTATTGGAACAATTCAAGAAGGTTATGATGCAAGAGTTTGCAATGACAAATTTGGGAGAGACAAAGTATTTTTTAGGGCTTGAAGTTTTGCAATTAAGCAAGGGAATTTTCATTTACCAAAGAAAGTATGCACTAGATATCTTAAAGAAGTGTGAAATGGAGAACTGTAAACCAATTGTCACTTCATTGATTCAAAATGAAAGCTTTTCGAGGATGATCGAGAAACCAAGGTTGATTCCTCCTACTATCAAAGTTTAATTGGTAGCTTACTTTATTTAATTGCAACAAGGCCTAACTTGATGTTTACAACAAGTTATTTGTCAAGGTTTATGTCAACTTCTAGTAAACTTCAATTAATTGCAGCTAAGAGAATTCTTAGGTACATCAAAGGAACTTATGAACTTGGCTTGTGGTTTTACAGTAATCAACGAGGAAAGGTTACATGGGTATGCTGATGGTGATTGGGCACGTTCTATGGAGGATATGGGCACAATGGGTCATGTGTTCTCCTTTGGTTCCAAGAGTTTCTCTTGGAATTCAAAGAAGCAAGATGTTGTAGCTCAGTCCATAGCTAAGGCTGAGTATTTATTAGCTAAAGCAATAGCAAATCAAGTTGTTTGGCTCATAATGGTGCTTGAAAAACTTGGTTCTGATCAAATTGAGCCTTGTGTACTCAAGATAGATAACATGTCAACAATTACTATTGTTCAAAATCCAATGTAGCACGGTAGGACCAAACACATCAAGATCAAATACCATGTTATCAAAAATTATGTGCAGGACAAAGAGATTGTTTTGCAACGTTGTAATTCTAAAGTTCAAGTTGTAGATATCCAAACTAAAGCTCTTTTGAGGCAAAAATTTGAAGAGTTCAGAAATATGCTTGGAGTTACAAATATAAAAAAGCAAGGAGAGTGTTGAAGATAGTAACTAGTAGTTATGATTTTAATTTGTAACTGTTCTTTTTAATTTTTTGTAATTAGTGTTTATGTTTTCTACTAGTTTGCTTTTGCAGAAACTATTATGTATGAGTTGCATATATTTTCAACAACTCTTATGTCTTGATATGAATCTAAAATGAAAGAGAGCTCCATATCAGAGAAGCTCTAGTTCTAAATTTTTTGAGTTCTTTATTAACTGCTGCTAGATGAGAAACTTACAATAACCCTTAAAAGAGAATCATTATATCTAGATGTGCTAGAACATGTGATTAGACCAAATATCGAGAGAAAAATTTTCTTTTAAAGGAAATGGAGTGGAAAAGAAACAAAAGAACAATTTTTTAACAGGAGATGTTATAGGATACTTCGAGAAGTAACACTACTTTAACCTATAAGGTAACCCTCCAAGTGATACTAGCATCATTAGCAAGTATCAGTAACCTACATTCGTATGTGGGTGATAATGCAAACTTATTGACGTGGTTGCTGATTGATTAAATAGTACCAGTGACGTAAGATGTCTTGCTAAATATTTTCAGTTACCAAAGAATTTAGCAAGGTGGTATGTGTTGATGAATTAAAAAATCATCAACGTGAGATGCAATGTTAAATTTTTCCAACAGCTAATAATATCTTTAAGTATGTCACGTTGGTGAATTCAAATAACACCAACGTGATATTAATATCGGACTAGTTGTGTGGTTGGAATCAATCGGTTGGAATCTAGATTAATCTGCCACAGGCAGTGGCTTGTGTAAAGCTGGGATAGGTAACCTTGGACCCAAATGAGCTGCAGCAGCTTGTTTCGGCAATGCTGAACCTGTTAGAGCACAAGGAAATGGCATCATTAACCAATTTATAACCATTTCCATTCTCATGCCCATCCCAATTCCCTTTCTCATGAACTGCTGGACGCCAGGAAACATTAAATTAGTACCATGGGTGTCTACGCCACATTCCGTGGACATCTCCTGTAGAAACTGACTAAAATCTAAGATGTCATAAAATAATACATAAGCTTACTACTTTATATATAAGATAAAAAAAAGGTATTTTGTAGGTTGATCTTTCAAATTTGTTTTTTTTTTCAAAATTTTTTTTTAAAAGACTCGTCTAACAACTCCGTTTATTTAATTAGATTTAGTTGTCCTAATTTGACTAAATAATTTTATATAATAAATAAATGACAATTAAATTTTTTTCTTTTTTTATACACAATTCTTGTTGAACATTTATATTTAGATCAAAAAAGTTTTCCATTATCATTAATTTACTATATAAAATCATCAAGTTAATTTACATAAAATTAAAAAATTGGAACAACTAAAAAAGTTAGGGGAATACATTCTAGTTACTATTTTTAAAAACATGTCATTGGATTAAAAATTTTATTTATATAAATCATATATATCAATTGTCTGATTGATATACTAAGCCTAACTAGTTTATTAATTACACAAAAATGAAGATTGTTATCTAGATATCAATGAATAGTTTCTTTGATAAAAAAGTTATAAATATTATGTTAATATAAAAATTAATATGCATAGTCTAAATAAATCAAACTTTTAATCCTATTGTTAAATTTCAAAATATGAATTTAAAAATAAATTTTTAGATAGGTCTAAAAAAAAAAAAAAGGGAAAGCTACACCACACTAACTCTATTAAGTAATGACAGATAAAGTTTAAAAGAAATAACACAAATTTCCACTTCAAATTGCATATCATGCAGAATGAGAAATGTTATCATAACAAAATTTGTGTTACTTGCCATTAGGACAAGTAGTTTTAAAATTAAAATTGAAAAGAAAAAAAATGCAATTAGTTGATTTGGTCTGAACCAGGACGGTATGACACAGCTTCCAGGTACCATTACAGTCCCTAAAAATACCTCCAGCAGCCGCAGGACCAGGATTTCCTTAAAAAAAGCCGTCGGTATTGAGTTTAATAAAAGCAAAAGCTGGTTTGCACAACCTAATCAGGACAGTCTGAGGTATAGTTGTCTGTACCATTTTGTACTAATAGTATAGTTAATACATATCAGTTTTTTTAGATTAATCGAAATGAAATGGGTTTGAATTTCATTTCAGTCAAAAATATTTTGGTCAAATTTTGGTGTACCGGCCGGTACACCAAAATTGAAGTGGCACAATTCAAATCTAATCTTAAAAAAAAAAAGGCAAACAGGTAAATCAGCACCTATACTTAGTGAATGGTGGCAAATCAGCCCCTCAACCAAAAACAAACACAAATTAACCGTCTAACTAAAAGAAAATAACATATTTAATTTTTAATTTAAGATATTTAAATATACTTATTTATTTTAAGATGCCACATAATATATATATTTTAAATAAAATTTTTAAGGTGACAAATTTGCTTTAATTCAACAGTATTGAGAGATGATTTACATATTTGGTCCTTAAATTTCTTTTATTAATTTTTTGTGACAAATAAGTTATGATTAAATTAGGGTTTACTTATATATAAGTTTTATACATTATAATTAAAATAATCTTAATTATTTATCTTTTTATTTTTAATAATTAAGATTTATTTATTTTTATCATATTTATTAACCTTATATTTAAGTTAAGGGAAACAAAGGAGAGAAAAAAGAAGGGAAGAATTATTTCCTTTCATTCTCATTTATTCATCTTCCCTTCCTTCATCTCATTTGAATAAATAATTAAATTAAAAAATAAATAGTAAATAAAAATTTCCCCTCCTCTCTTCAATATTTTTCATTACCAAATAAAAATATGTTTTCACTTACCTCCTTTTCCATCTTCTTTATTCTCCTCAAATTAGACAAATTATAAAAATATTATTTTTTATCTAAAAATTATGATAAATTTCAACTATTAAACATTAAAAAATGAATAATCAAAATTATATATAAATATAATGTGTAAAATTTATATGTAATTATATCTTAACTTATTATAATTCTAAATATATAACTGAAGGGTAGTTTCAACGATTTCCCGTCAACTAAAATTTAATTAATAATTCATTTATTATAAAATATCTATCTTTTTTATAAACATATATGTTTATAGCGATAAATCCGAAATGGTACGTAAAAAATTTCGATATCCAATATATACCGTTTCAATTACAAAACCGATACATACACTAATACGGTATTGACAACTTTGGTCTAAGGCGTCCGAAGATGGGGATAATCAAGCCTTTGGTAACCGCTTCAGGATGAGGGTAAGGTCTATGAAGGACTTGTTTACAATGCAGCCAGATTCCCCACAAAGCAAAACAGAAAGCAACATCCCATGGGATATTGGAAACAACCTTAGAATCTGAACAAATATATAGTCAATTTTACATATAGTCAATTTTATTTCTCCTTAATTACTGCTGAGATAAATATGAAAAAAATTACTAATTGATTAGCTGTAGAATAACTACATGGATAAAACAGCTTCAAACAAGTACAAACTTCTTACTGGCTACCTAAGTGTCATGTCCAAAGTCTAAGCAAGAAGAAAGATGGACCCGGGAGATATGAGAACTCATATTATCTTGTGGATCTATTTGTCGAACTCCCATATCACACCTCCATCCTCTGTGATTTCAAGGAAACAAAAGATCAGCCATAAGCTCTATAAGTGCAAATGCATGACATTCATACTGATAATCACGCTATTCAAATAACTTGGAAGGAACATATATTTCTTTACCTTTGATTTTCTTGTTTATCCAGACCTCCAGCAGCATCCCAGCACCAATTCCACCAGCAATACATGCTCCACAGAAGGCAATAGCAGAGGGCATCGACATCCGAGGAAGGAAATAACAGTCAGGAATTTGTCGAATCTTCCTGGGAAGCCGCTTCTTCACAACTGATTTGCCACTTGCACTAGGGTCCTTCTGCAATTCACTGCCAATTGCTTTCCAGTCAACCCCTTTCAACGGGTCTCTAGCATCTTCAGTTCCCATTATGAGATTCCTCTATTCCCGATTCTTCAACTATCAATCCCCAATTATTTGCACCCTATGATCTGCTGAAATAGAAGCCTAACAGAAGTGAAAACCATAAAGGAAGAAAATTTCAACGGAATCTACATTCGTACACTAATTTTTTACCAGTGCATTATATCAAGAACTGGATTTGAATAAAACCCATCAATTTCTGCCAAGTTCCTCCAAACCCCAAGAAGGAAAATGGCAGTTATGAGGTTCAGAAGCCCAGAAAACAGGAAATAGCCATAAAATTAAAAAAAAAAAAATGAAAATGCAAGCTTCAAAGACACAGTATTTGTTCTCATGAATCACACACAACTAAAGTATTTAATATATCGGGTATACGTACCAGTATATTACAGAGATCTCCGAATTAGGGACCCCAAGGGGTTTGTCGCAGTTTAAGAATAGCAGATTTTTGAACGAATTCCCTTTACAGCTCGTAGAGGCAGACATCGAGAGAAGAAGAAAGAAAGGAGAACTAAAATTAAATGACCTAATTTCTGGATGGGCTTTTAATCGGGCCAGTTGGGCCTACGCTCTAAGAAACTTAAGAAATGGTTTTAAAAATGTATTTACTAGTTGGCTCATAAAAGTTGTATTTACTGATAGTATTTAAGGAAAATTAGGACTTTATAGTAATTAAAATATTAAAATTTTCTTACTAAATCAATACACAAAAAGTATTCATTAAAACTATTTAAATAATTTTATAAATAATCTTACCAATTAAAATATCAAAATATTTTAATTTTTACTTTTCTCTTGTATTTTTTAAGAGTTTTTATTTTTTTAATTTTTAAATCCCTTGTTTTGCAGTCTAGTTTTGGCCTACAAAACAAAGATCATTGGATAAAAGAGGATCCAATATTAAAAATTCTACTCTCATCCAATAATTAGTGTTATACAATCAGGTACAATCTTGATTCCACAATAGTTTTTCCTTCCTGTTTTTCTAGGCCAACTATTTTTTAAGAGTTGAAAGGAAAAGCTTGTAACCTGGTGATAATTTCCTTATCTTTTTATACAATTTCATAGGGAGTCCTAGTATTTAACGTGCAAGACACTTAATTTTAACTTTCTCTTATTAGTATTTTTTAGGATTTTTTTTTTAAGTCCCTTATTTTGTAGTCCAATATTGAATTGCAAATCAAAGATAATTGGATAAGAGAGGACCCTTAATATCAAGAGACTCATCTTCCATCAAATGATTAGTGTTGTGTAATTCAATATAATTTATATTCCATAATACCTTCTCCTTCTTTTTTATGGACCAACTATTTTTTAAAAGTTGAAAGGAAAAGCTTGCAGCTTGGTGATAATTTCCTAGTCTCGTTTATTTAGGAGAACTAGAGAGAAGGGGAGATACTGTCTTTTCATTTCTCTCCCCTCTTCCCATTCTTTTTCTCTCATTTGGATATTAAAATGCCCAAAAGAAATTAAAGCAAAAACTGAAAAGAGGAGGCCCCTCCCTTCTCCTCTAATTTTTTTATCCAAATAAGGAAATCTTGCCTCTTCTCTTTTCACAAACCAAACAAGTTATGAGTTGAAAGGTCTTGGATTTGAATTTGAATTATGGTATCTTCTTGACAAATATGGAATGGGTAAAGCGAAGCCCTTAAAGAAAATGCAGGCTAGATGTAGCATGTAGGTAAACTAGAGAAGGTGAAAGAGTTTGGCAACCCCCTACGAGAGAGGAGAGAAAATCTAAAGGAGAGGCCCATAACTCCAAACCTTAACCTTAGCAATAATATGCCATCGGGTTGATTCGGATTATTATGGTAGATTGATTTTACCTTCTAAAAAAAAGGATTTAAAGATTTTTTTTTTTTTTTTTGTCGATGAGTCATTTAACACCTATATAAAATAAATAAAATTTCAACGTACCTTTATTTTTTCAACTTTTTAGTATATCATGAATTAGTTATTTAATGACAAAAAAATCTCTAATCTTGATCCTAAATAAAATATTTTAAATTAGTGAATATTAATTCAGACAAATTTATAAATTTTCAACTTTCTCTAGTTGCATTCCCCTACTTTAGTTTTTTCTACATTGATGGCAAAAGTCGAACACCTAGTTAATTTTATGCCTCATACTCCAAAAATCACATTTAAAGACCAATATTAGGAATTAGAAACCAAAATTTTACGTTCGAAAAAAGTTTGCCTTGCGAGAAATTTTGGTGTACCTTAAGATTTTATTGATCTGAAATACCACATTAGTGATATCCCGGGGTACCATGCAAAGCGTGATACATTTACTGATCACACATTAACAAAATAAAAATTGAGCACCTTTTTCAATATTCGTACACATGGCAGGCTCATTATGTTTCCCAATTCGTGATGAAATTTTGAATTGTCAATATTAACTTAGTTTATGGTTAATAATGCAAAAGATCCTCTTAGATTAAAAACACGCACTTTATCAATTAATTATAAATATAATTATAAAACTTGTATTTTTTCTAAACAACTTATTTTATATAATAAAACAATTAAAATTCTAGATCCTATTCAATATTTTTGGTAGCCTTTTTGCTTTTTACAATATTAGATAAAAATAGATTAAGCTATTAGGTTTAAACAAATACACTACTAGAAAATAAAGTATAATCAACAAATTTATAATTGACAGTCAATTTTTTATCGATTATACTTGTATAATCGATAAAAAAGTTGTCGATTATATTACTCTGTCGATTGTGTACTTTATTAGTCTATATAATTGACAAAAATTATAATCAACAACTTTTTTGTCAATTATATTGATATGATCAATAGAAAATTGACTGTTAATTATGTATTCAATATAATCAACAACTGACAAAAAATTGGCTGTCGATTATGTATTCAATATAATCGACAACTTTTTTGTCGATTATATGGAAAAATAACTCATTTGCTATTTGGGATTCTGCATGGTTGGAAAATATCAAATTTCTAGTAGTGCAAGCCTTGAAAATTTGATTCTTTGTAGCTTTAAATCCAAAAATTTTACAAAACAATCAATAAAAAAAAAAACTAAGCAAAAAAAACCAAAAAAAAAGGGAGAACTAAATAAACTAAACCTCTTGATTGGATAATTACAATCGCTATAAAGCACTTGCTTGGAATCAACCAAAATATGCAAATGAGAAAACCTACTGAACATCAATTTAAAGAAATAGCACATTAGTTTAAATAAAAAAATTAAAAAATTAAAAAAAGAAAAAGAAAAAAAGAGCAGAGCCTATAATCAACAGCCAATTGTTGTCAGTTATATTTATAATCAACAGCAAATTCGGTTATTGATTATACTCGAATCCCGCCCATTCAGCCCAAAAAATTGAATCTCCCAGCTAATTAGATTCGAAACATAATCGACATAATTTTTGTCGAATATATTTTGACTATATTAGGACTCTAAAACCAGAATATCCCATTGCCTTCTCCCTTTTATCTTCGGTTTTCTCTCCACTTCTCCTTCTTTCCCACAGGTAAAATATCTCATTTTTTCTTTTAACTTCTTCTCATTTTAATTTTCATTTTCCTTTTTTCTTTCATCTTTTATATTCACCCATTTGTATTTTTTCAAATATCTCTACTTTTATTTCATTATTCATTTATACCTATTCCATTATCATTTTTGTTGACAGTCCATCATCTTCTTTCTCTTAATCCTTCTCATTCAATGCTTTTTTTTTTTTAATGTATCAACCAATCACTTCAATTTAGTTTTAACTAAGAAATCTTATTATTTGATTTCCTAATAGTTTTTTTTTTTTTGTAGATTTTATTACCTTGATTATGAGGTAAAATTTTCTTTTAAATTTAACTTGTACTTCTTATTTTCTTTTATTTTAATAAAATCATAACGTATACCAATGCATTTTTCTTTTTTTTCTGGCAGAATATTGATCTCAAAATAAGGTTAGAATTCTCATTTTAATTTTATTTATGTTTATCTATTATTTCTTATATTATTCTTAACATTATTTCATAAATATACTGTTGTGAAACTTGATAGTTTTATTGAATTTCATTTCATTCTTTTATATATATATAATTTAATTAACAAAAAAAATTATGAATATAATTCTTGATTTTTATTGAATTTTTATATATATTTTTTATAGTTACCCAAGTATAATCGACAGCATGCTATCGATTATAATTGCATAATCAACAGCTAATGGCTGTCGATAATTTTTTTTTGGTAAAGTATAATTGACAGCCAATGATTGTCGATTATAATTGCATATTTTATAGAAAATTTTTTTGTCAATTATAATTATTTTTTATCATTGTTTATACGATAGCTTTAGTTGTTGATTATGTCTGTCGATTATAACATAATCAACAGAAATCATTCTATAATCAACAGTATTTGCTGTCGATTATACTCTGTTTTCTAGTTGTGAAAAATCCCCATAGCCTACGCATAGAACTTAGCTCAACCGATAAAAGAGCAAAATGAATAGCTCCAAAAGGCAAGTCATGCCTAGAGAAAGCCATAAAATCAGCCGTTAAATTTCCTCCAGGAAGGTTATATATGTTGTAAAGTAACAACTATGAAGTGAAAACATACTAGCAAGAGACTACAAGATTTCTTTAAATTAGTAACCATTGACTTAGGAACAAAAGCAACCGCATGCCTTCATTTGCTAAGAAAGAAAAAGAAAACTCAGGGTAGATGAAATATTCTTCAAAATGAAAAAATTAATTAATTAATAAATACTAGTATATATTCTCTCTCTTGCTTGCTATTTACTAGCTACTTTCTGAATTTCAGATCAGTAGGACGCAATTCTTTCATATTACAATTTCCTGATCAGGTACAATATATTCTTGTATTTCAAAATGAAAAAAATTCCGAGAATCAATCTCATTTACTTCCTGTTCAACTTATGAAGAATGGATACAAGCTTAGCAACCGTCAAGGGTTTCTCCTGGAAGTCATCCAATCCAGCTTTCATGAATTCTTGCTTTTCTTCTTCCAATGATCTTGTCGACACGCCCGCAATCATGCTACGAATCCCCATCTCCCGAAGCTTCCTTGTTGCCTGTAATAAAATAACAACCAACTGAATGTCAGCGTGGGAGAAATTATTTTTGGCAAAAAGTGCCAGAAAATGGTGTTCAGGGATCAATCCGTTATTTTTAAAAGTTTAACGACCAAAATATTGCTTAACTCAAAATTAGAAACAATTTTGACATTTTAACCATTATTTTCTAGAAATTTATAAAGGCTGTTTAGATTAATTGTTTAAATGTAATTAATAGCTGATAACCACAATTGATAATTCTTTTAGTAAGATTGATAATATGTTATACAATATGCGATAGCATCTCCTCAAACCCTTGTCATTCATTTTAAAGATTTTAATATGAGATTTTAAACATAAAAATTTATAATTTAACCATTAAACATCTTTTTGGGACAGTGCATTTTAATTTTTAGAAACAGAAACAGCAATACTAATTTTCAAAAAAAAAAAAATCTGAAATGAAATATACCTCAATACCGTTCATGATAGGCATCTCCAAGTCCATCAGAATGAGGTCGAAATTCTTGCCGGAGATATGAACATCGACAGCCTCTTTTCCATTGGCAACTGTCTCGCTTTGTATCCCAAGATTGTCCAGAAGTTTGCGGTGAATCCTTTGGTTGACGGTGTTATCATCCACCACGAGTGCTGTACTGATCTTCTTGTCCATGTTCTTGGTCAGGTTTTTTTGTTTATCCTTGGTGACAAAGAGAGTGAAGCTCCAATCTCATTAATTCTTGCCAACTTCTATGTTCTTGAATGTCGTGTGTGCTTCGTTTATCAGCTTTGAAATCCCAGGAGAACAGATTAATTACTGGCCCTCGAATTTGTAAGAAAATTAACAAGAATGAGAAGAAATATTGAACTAAACAAACCCAGAAAGAAGATTGAATCAAAGGCTGAGGAACTTTAGGTTTATATAAAAGGACTGGCAATTGAGAAGAAATCACTTTGGATTGCATTTGTTAATCAAACGAATCTATGAATGTGATATTTTCCCTACTTGGAAGATATCCTACAGTATATGAGTAGAAAAGGGCAGAATGAACCTTGTTTAGTAATATATCACTACTTTTCACCAAAAAAAATAAAACCTTATTTTAAGAGAACTCGCATAAAATAGACACAAAATACTAAAAACAGTATAGATTTGCTTAGATTTTTTGTATCAATCCTGCAAGTTTCGTTTCTTTTCTTAGGTGTATTAATTAATTTTGGATTTTGAAGAAAAAGATAGGGTAGATATTGTACAATTTGATTTGGCCTTTTAACTATAAAAATAAATACGGACAGGTAATTAAGAGCATGCTTCATCAGCAAATCTAATGCAAATCTGCCGCATTAATGTAACTTTTTCTGTTTTTGGGATTAAAGTTAGTCAGGGAACGCAGTGATATCTTTACTGCAATTACTACCCCATGTTTTCTTCACTGATTGATGACCCACATAATTTTCTCATCATTGTGTTAGTGTCTTCTGATAACTAGGGGTGGGCAAAACCGATTTCGGTATAAAATCGAAACCGATTTTGAATTAAC